GAGTTCAAATGGAAAGTCTCAATTCTGTCATAAGGAGAAACTCGGCAAGTTGGAGGGTAACTCGACGAGTTATAACGCGAAGTTCAGATTCTTTGAGGTACGGAACTCGACGAGTTGGTGTACCCGCTCGGTGAGTTGAGTCAACTAGAAGTTGACTTTGACTATGATGTTGACCTTGACCATTGACATGAGTTGACCTTTATTAGGGTTAGGAGTATGTAATGGTAAATAAGGGAGATTGTTATGTATAGGAGTTGAGTAGTTGAGAGGAGTTGACCCCGGCGTCGAGAGTAGTTCAGACACTTCACGACATTGAGGTGAGTTGCCTTCTAGTAGTGGTAGGTCTACAGCCACAATGCCGGTCCACAAGTAGGAGTTGTATGTTAGATAATTGTTTTGTGATAATTATCTAGGTTGCTACTACCTAATATGTTTTATGTGCTAGTATGATATGATGATATGTAATATTAGCAGTAGGGGGAAGTCCCCGTGACACGGTCGTAAGGACCTGAGGGTAGGTCGGGCACCTCAAAATTGCCTGATAGGGTAGGTCAAGCACCCCAGAACTGCTTGACATAGGGAGGTCGAGCACACCAGAATTGCGTGGCAGGGTAGGTCGGGTACCCCAGAATTGCCCGACAGTATGTATGTTGTATGGCATGTGGTATGATGGAAGAACTCACTAAGATTCGTGCTTACAGTTTCAGTTTTGTTTCAGGTACCTCTTCATCAAAGGGGAAGGAGCCGGCATGGTAGCAGCGCATCGCACACATATGATTTCCACATTTTGAGATCCATGGGATTGTAATCTGACATTATTACTATTTTGATGATATGGTTGAGACATGTGACTATGGTTTTATGAATAGAAGTAACTCAATGATGTTTTCTTATAATTGTTTTCTAAATCGTTATGTTAAAAACAAAAAATTTGGTCTTGAAAATTGGGATGTTTCACAAGTAGTCAACTTATAATCAACCCCCATCCTATCAAAAGGATACTGCTTTCATTGAACAAAGTTCCTTTCCCCCCTGAAACACACACACAAGTCATAGTTAAATCCATTTCTTCTTCACAATCACGACTTCTGACCCTACCACATATCCTATTCTTTTCGAGAAAGGGGCACTCCCCCAAATTCTGAAGCCATAACCGAACTGATACCCACCACGGGTAAAGGACGTTCGAGTATTACTAATCATGATTGGAATGAGGTTCTTGAGAGGGCTCAACTCAGGCGTACTGATATAAAAAAGAGAATAAATTGAGTATGCCATTCTCGGAATGCGACATCGAGCTCTCCGTAGAAAAATCCCAATGAAGCATCCTAGAAATTCCAAATTTGATGTTCACGGTAACACGGATGATCCATCGACCAACAATGTTGAGAAAAATCTGAAAGGGGAAGTGCCTGAACCAACACCAATTTCGGATGAGCCTCCTTGGAGAAATGACAAAGCTACAGGAGATGTTCCCTTCACCAATCCAATTTTGGATGACCCTCCTCATGGTGATAGTGATGATGCTGATGTTCAGATTGAGTTTACAAACAATCAAGTTGATCTCTTAAGTCTTCTTCCTTCAAGGAAAAAATTTCAATTCCTTCAAGTCTCTTCCTCCAAACCATAGATTGATCTTGACCTTCAGTCGTCTTCAGAGGAAATGGATCTTGGAGATGGTGATGATGATACAAACATGGGTGGTGATGATGACAAAGGAGCTGATGATTATGATGATAAAGAAGAGCAATCTGAAAGTGAATCCAGTTCGGACACTAGATCTTCCAATGAGATAGCGTCTCATTTTTCTTTTCTTAACATGCAAGAGAAAATTGACAAAGTTGATGCCAAAGTAGAAAATGTCAATGTTCAGGTTGGGGCACTTGATTCAACATTAGATTTGGTTCTCAAATCTCTTTCCGAAATCAATTCGGCTGCTCCTTCAAAACAAGACCGAGTGCAACAGCTTGATCAACTTATCTCCCTTTGGTTGAAGCACACCTTGTAAGAAGTTGAGCAAATATATAATGACAACCTTGATCATCACATATCTACCACTACCACCATGCTCAAAGTTCATGACGACATGCTTGCTACTGCAAACGAGCTCATTACGCAGATGCATGTCCAACATGAAAAACAAATTAAAAAATTAGAGAAGGAGATCCGACCGAAAGATAACATGAATCTGATCATGAAACATAGACTAATAAAAGTAATTTGGTCTGCCCAACACTTTGTGGACATTCCAAATTACAAGTTTGATGAAGTTCTACAATTTGAAGATGTGGCAGCTACCCTTGAAGCCAAAGCTCCGAACGTTGATGCTTATGATAATCTCGCCAAGATTGTCAATGTGAACTTTCAAAAAGTGTTTGATAAGCTCGGAATGTTTCAAGAAGGTGTTGAGTTTGCATCCAATGCCAAGCCCTTGGTTGCAAGAGGAGGAGAATGAGCTAGTTCTAGTGGTCTTCATTAAAGGAAATGGCCACCAAGACAAGTGTTTGAGCTCCGAGATGAAACCTATTCTGAAGAAGAAGAAGAAGAAGAAGAAGAAGAAGAAGAAGAAGAAGAAGAAGAAGAAGAAGAAGAATAATAATAATAATAATAATAATAATAATAATAATAATAATAATAATAATAAGAAGATGATGAAGATGAAGATGAAGATGATGATGATGATGATGATGATGATGATGATGATGACGATGATGATGATGATGATGATGGTGATGAAGATAACAAAGTTGTTATTGGAATTCAAGCTGAATCGATGCAATCTTCAATTATCAAAATCATTCCGGAAGAAGAGAAAGCTAAATGGAATTCATGGCCATCCCTCCTTGTTAAAGAAACTAGACTGAGCATTCAAGCTTCCAAGATGAAAACTCAATTGAGGGTGCATGAATTCCGACACCTCGAAATGGAAGCACTGCCAACTCATGCTCTGCTCATCACTCCCATCGACAAAGTCTCTCCTATCAAGAAGGATGATGACTTACATGCTCTGGAACTGACAATACCAATTTTCGATGTATTCATCACTCCAGCTGCATAACAGATCATTCAATCCACACCTAGAGCTCCGATCAAAGAAAAAAAAGGGGATCTCATTTGGTCCGATTAACCCATTGAAGTCGTCGAATTGAATGTCTAAGAATTGAAGCTCAAAAGGGTTGTCCAAACCCTTGTTGAATGTCTAAGAATTGAAGCTCAAAAGGGTTGTCCAAACCCTTTGCTCAGAATCTCACCTCTCTGTCCAGAAGGAATCTTACACGAACATCACATGGTTCCATGTATGTGTTACGACCTTCTTGCTTCGGATGCAAATCAACTTGACCTGGCGAGATCTCCATATGCAACGTTATATGTCAAGTTCTCTCTTTTACATCCGAATAATGATCATTCTCATATGAATAGAGAGAGAAAGAATACAAACCTTCTATGCCACCCTCATCATGTAAAAGAAGTATGGTCCAAGAAATGAAGCAGACACATTAGTGGATGTGGACGGAAAGTTTTGAGCAAATTCGAACAAGACTCTATTAGGGAAAACATACGATACTTGTCAAGAATCAGAATAGATATGATGCCACTTGGCAAGCTCTGATGACCCTTATTAGGAAGTAATGTGGATAACACATGAAACTAAAGGCACACAAAGTCACAGTATTTACGTGGTTCGGTCAAAGTGACCTACGTCCACAGGAAGGAGGGGACTATTATTTATTACCAGAGTTCTCAAACAAATATTACAAGTACAACTAGCAGAGATCCGTCCTAGTCACTAGGGATACACAAGAAATGACACAAATGACTTAGCATGCATCCCTATTTATACTTGAGGGATCAGACCTAAAACCCTAATGAGCGAAGCCTATTAGCCCATAGGCCCATGAATGGTATCGGCCAATCACAATCTACCATGAAACAACTTCTAGAACATTCATCCTTGCATGAACATCAACAACACACATGAAAGAGCATCATGATCCATAGTGGCACATCATGATGCAAAAGTGGCACATCAAGATCACCATCGAATATCAACCATCATGGTGGCACATCAAGCAATAATACTTGAGAATCTTCAACTTCTGAGCTTCCTTGAACAGTCTTGATCATCATAGGGGACTTCATAGCATATAGATCATCATGGTATACCTTGGCATATCAAGGAACCAAGTGGCGCATCCTTGCATCAAGATGGCACATCATGCATGTAAATGACACATCTAGATCAAGGGTTGGCACATCCTCTTCTAAGTTGGCTTATCTAGACTCCAAGTTGGCATATCCTCTCCATAATGGTACATCTACCTCATGAATGGTATATCCTATCACTTGGTGGTATATCATTTCACTTGATGGCATATCATGTCACTTGGTGGCATATCAACTCACTCCGTGGCATATCAAGTCACTTCGTGGCATATGAAGATCCAATCACTACTAGAAAAACAGTCTTTTACGACGCGCAATGCGTGTCGTAAAACGCTCAGACGACGCGCAAATGCATGTCAAGAAAGGCCGTGTCATAACGAGAGACGACACGCTTTTGCGCGTCGTCTATAGACGACGCACATTTATGACACGCATTTACGACGCTCATTTACGACGTGCAATGCATATCAAGGAAGCCTCTGTCATAAAGGAAGACAACACGCATTGCATGTCGTAACCTTACGACGCACGTTTAGGACACGCATTGCGTATCATTAAATCTCATGTCATAAATAAAGATGGAAAACATTTGCGTGTCATAAACTTCAGCAACCATTTACGATATACATTTACGAAGCATCTTTATGATACTCATTTACACATAATACAAAAATATGGAAACAAATATATACCAAAACAATCAATATCATCCAATAACATCATGTCAAAAAAATGTAATACATTGGTATTAAGGGGATCTGATTGTACATTGTTATTAAGAGGTTATCCCTAACTATATAACCTATTACTACATTGCTATTCAGGGACGCCTTGTTTCAGATATCATGTAAAAAACAAATCCTCCATGTCAAAAAATTGGTTGTTGTCCACCGGGTGTAGATGGCAAATAATGACTTGAACATTAGCTGAAACCAAAAAGCTTTTATTAATCACACAATCAAAAAAGATTGATACACTAATGAAGAGAGTGGTGGAGCATAGAACAAAGCTTGCAAGGTTAGCATTCTTGTCTATTGTGAGAAGACGATTGCCTTCTCCTTTACGGGTGCCTTTCCTAAAATACCCTTGGGGTTTGAAATGGATAAGTAGATTAAACAAAATCAGAGTAGCTGATACTAGTTTAGTAATTAGTAGTTTGATTTAATAAGGCTCAACTGGTACACGAAACTTTGCTCCCGCATAAACAGTTGCTGCTCCCAACTCTTCTTCTATCCTCAGAAGCTTCAGTTTTCAAATTAAAACTATAAATATATTCAAGTAACTCATTTACATAAATACAAGTAAAGATGAATTTGATTACCTGATTGAATTTTGCAAGTCGTTCTGAACAACAAGGAGCTCCAGTTTTAATCTGACCATGTTTCACACACAAACTCCCATAATAAAATATCATTTATAAGTTATAACATAACAAAACACTACCTCAAATTCTGCTAAAAATATTAATTAATATTATTACCATTGACAAGCCAACTGAAAAATCTGCAACAAAAATATCCTCTGTTTCGCCACTTCTATGGCAGGCCATCACACCCCATCCAACACACTTGGACATTCTCACTACCTAGATGCTTTCTGTAACCGACCAAACCCCACCTGGGTGGAGGAAAAGGTCACCGGAGATAAGCTCACCTGCAAAATCATAAAAAGAAATTTTGCTATCAAAAATCATAAAAGAAATTTTGCTAGATGGGGTTTTTCATTTTATATTATAACCTACGTACAGTCGTTACAGAGACAAGTTGAGGTAATTAAAGATTAATCTAGTACTTAACTTTTTTGTAAAAATACCAAAATATGTTTATTTTTTCTTTCAACTAAATTGGGTTCTTGTCAATGAAATTAGCAACTGTTAATCCTCGGATGGATGTTAGCATGGAAGCAATTTTATCCAAAGATGTAAGCTTTTTTCAACTGTTTTTATCAATTCTTTCGCATATTAAAAGGGTTTTTACCTGATTTTGAATTGAATAATGACAAATGCAATACCTGTATGTCCGTGTGGTGAAAGCTAGGGATTTACCTGCAAAAGATGTTACTGGTAGTTGTGACCCTTATGCTGAAGTTCTTCTTGGAAACTACAAGGGTACAACTCGTCATTTTGAAAAGAAATCTAACCTGAATGGAACCAAGTGTTTGCCTTCTCCAGAGAGAGGATTCAAGCCACTGTGCTTGAAGTCACTGTAAAAGATAAAGAATTTGTGAAGGATAAAAGGAAAAAAGTAATTAATTAAAAATAAAGAATATTATAGGACCAAAAAAGAAGACATGAACACGGTAAAAAATAGAAATATTAATAAAATAAAATGCCAACCTTGTAGTTTAAGGAAAATGTTTGACATGATTATCCCCTGTTGCATCTGGCCATTTCTTTACATCAAGTTCTGTTACTAAACCGCCCTCAAGATTCGTAATAACAACCTAAAAACATTAAAATTTAACATGAATATTATTAGTATTGTAAAGAGTTTGTGGGGAATAATATTAAAATAAATCACATAATCATCACAAATTTAAAAAAGGATAAAAGTTTATTACCAAAATTAAAAATCCTACAACTAATCCAGATGCCAACACGAATTCATATTACACATACCAATACCATAAGTTGACTTGTTTTATATTAATCTCACACAGACAAACAGAGAGACAGACCATACGCTATAATTACACTAAACTCTATAAGTTTCAAGGCAAAATATGGAACTAAATAAACATTCCAGATTTACCCCTCGAAATCTAAAACCACCATATATAATCAGATTCAGACCAAACCCTAAAAGCCTTGGACTCATTTCTTATATCACCCTAACCAACTATATCCTGTTAGATAATCAAATAACTCCAAAAATCTTGGAAAAAAAAAAAACAAAACCCAACAACTAAAAACATTACTTTATCGTTTGTTTGTATGTTTGTCATAGGATTATAACACTTGAGTAGCTAGCCAACAGCCACAACATCAGGCCTTGGACTTGAGTCAAGAAGTTGACGCATGTTTGTGTTTGTTTTTTTGCTGGTTTCATATAATTCTCCTGAATTGTTATCCACTCTTGATATCAGGTTAGTAGTGCTCAGAGACGATACCTCCTTCGGCTTATTCTGTAACATAATAAAGGTATATATTCACTCTTACCATTAATTCAGCACTTTGAAGCTTCAATTTCTCTGAATTATCCGTTAATCGGTTAATTTCAGACCTAAGCTTCAATTTCTCTGAATTATCAATTTCTCTGAATTATCAATTAATTCGACCTGTAGCAGATTAAAGAAACTAAATTTGACAATAAAACTAGTAAAAAAAATCATCTGATTGCTTAAAGTAAAGTGAAATAAAAAAATAAATAAAATAAACACCTCCTCCTGAGGAGTGAAAAGACAAAGGATTTTTAGGAAAAGGTTTTCTGTAGCAATCAATCCCATAAGAAACATCCAACCCTTTTCTCGTTCCAATAAAAATGTAGCTTTACTAGTCCAGGATCTCTTCATTTTTCCTACCTTATCTATATAATCATTTTTCCATATAAGGGCATTCAATAATCATACTTCTTAACTACTACCGGAAATAAGCAAAGGCTTGGAAAGAGGTCAGGAGAAGAAGAAAGAATAACAACCATAGCAAGTCTTTTATCCCTAACCCAACTCTTTTGGTGCCTGTAACAATTTAAAAAAAAAAAAAAAAAAGAACGGACAGAGTGGGAAACTGTTGTACCTGAAAGTTTGATGTTCCTTCCTCTTCCTGCATTACAGACCTAAAAATAGCATGCACATCACTAGTTAGATTTTTTAGGAATATACTATATATGCATGACCTAGACCTAGTTCGTGCTCTTGCAATGTCTGGATGCAAGCCATGATCGAATAAGGTATGATGTTATACAAGCGCATGCTTCCCCATCGTGATTGAGTGATGATGATAATTTATAAAAAAGAAGAGGAAAATCCATGCTTTAGGACCAAGAAAACACACACACACACATTTGAAACTGGCTTAGTGCTAGTAAAACTTGTATCCAATCTTCAGGTGATAGCCCTCTGGCTGTAATGTAAGGCCTAATGGCCCTTATGGACCAAGCATTTTGCATGAGTACATGGACTAATATGAAAGGGAGTAATTTTGGAATGAAGTAGCTAGAGTACTGCAGAAAACATCATACATACACATATACTAGCGTTTGAATGCTACCTACTGCAGAAAACAAGTGACTTTTGGAATGAACTAGCATTTCCTGCTCAAACAGACAAACAAAATTACATCAGATTAGCCCTATAAACATCATACATACACATATACTAGCTAGAGTACTTGATTATTACCTCTGTGTCTCTAGATTGAATATATACTCATCTCCAAAATAGTTGACTGCAGGTGGTAATTCTGAATTTGACTCCTTACAACATGGGATGAATTAGTGACTTAAATTCTGGCTTCCAACATCTACAACCTGAAAAGAAATATATATCATTATCATGACATAACTCAACAGTTGAGAGAAACATAAGGATTGCTTACATATATCATTCTCTTATGTCCTGATATCATTAACCGAGAAGAATCACAAGTAAATATAATGGAATGGGCAGAAGGTCTTCTTTAGCACAATACACCTAGCGAGGGATTGCCTTATGTTCTTTCAGACACATAATACACCCGGTGAAGCTCTTCTTTAGCACCAGCATCTCTTGTCCCCATAAACTGCCACTTGCTTCTTCTTGAACGTGATTGTGCAGCTTGCTCAACTGCAACTTCCATTTGCTTAATTTGCCCATGTAATCACTACATAGCTAAAACCCCTACACAACAAACCAAACAAAACAAAAATCAACAACAAATATTAATTAGCAAAAACAAAAACAAAAAAAGTCGAAAATACCCTTTAGGTTAACAAGAGAGGTTGTCATTCCAAAAACAGATGGAGAAGAAGAGAACAGTCTTCGTACCTTATTTAGGGAATAAAAGAATCTTTAAAAATTGAATGTAAGAGAAAGAAATCTAGGGCACATACATGAAGAAGAAGATAACAACTTTCGAACCTGATGCCTCCTCCATTTTTGTTTTCCGCATTCTGATGCTTCCGATCGTACCTTGAACCTTTGACTTTCGATCCCAAATCTGACTTGCAACCTTCGATTTCTGATCTTCAACCTGTAATTCGAGTCATATAGTTTCGAATATCATAAAATTAACCTTGCTACCTCCTATTTCTGATGAAAGAGGAGTCTCAAATCTGAGAGAAAAATGAGGAGTCGCTGGCTCAAATTAGATTAGGGTAGAGGTCTAGGGTTTACATGGAAACCCTAAAAGATGGATGACATAGGCAAAATCAGAAAGGTATGAACATACCATTCGATGACCAGAACATGGACTGAGAGGAGGGGGCTGTTAGGGCTAGAAACTAGCTTCCAATCTCCTTTATCAACATGATATCGATAAAGATCGCCAAAAACATATGTCTGTGTAATATATCAACCTTTTTCAAAGTAAATTCAAGCATAATTTCAGAGAAGGTTACATGAATTCATCTATAAGACATAATGTCCAATAGTTGATATCTTCCATCCCTAAAGTCACCGGCATGGCGTCTTTTTTCTTTAGAACCATCGTCGTTGCCCCATAAATTCGGAGATGGCGTGCCTACTGTTGCATTGATCGACGTCGACGACCAGGAATGGCAACTAACGATGGTCGAAGTGTGAGAGAAGAAGAAGGTGGCAGTCAATGTCGGGAGGGGGAAGGAAGGAGCGTCGATAATTAGGGCAAGAGGGAAAGGAGAAAAAAAGGAAGGCGGGGTTTTTAATTTTTTAGGATTTCATTTCCCCCTGGTTATTAAAGGATGGAACGCGCGTTGCATTAAAATTTATAAAGCGACATCCTTAGACGACACGCATTTTATTATAGGTGCCCTCCGTGTTTTTTTTTATTTTTATTTAGACACTAATTTAAGGGCACGCAATAATGCGCGACATAAATCCTTAAATTTTTTGAAGAGATGACACTTTTTTAATGTCACTCTCTTTTGCGTAACATAAATCAATGAGTGTCGTGGTTTGCGCGTCGTAAAAGGGTCTTTTTCTTGTAGTGAATAGTGGCGCACCTTGACTTCTAAGTGGCGCATCCAAGCATAGGATTGCACATATTGATCACAGATGGCGCATCCATGCACCAGGATGCTCCATTCCAATCTAGGTGATCCATACCCCCTTTTAGAATATTTGTTCCTTTGTTACTGGATATGTGCCTTTGTCAGGAGATACATCCCTTTCTCAGATGATCAGTTCGTTTTTCACATGCTCCATGAACCCCAAGTGCTCCATTGAGTTCCAAGTGCTCCATTGAACTCAAATGCTCCATATGAATGATCCAAAATCCTCGAGTCACATTTAACAATCTCCACATTGACCTGAGCATACTCTAAACTCCACCTTAAACAAAAACATCCTCTCCTTCCTACCATCAAGCCCCAAAAGAGTTTATCTCCTGCGAACATAAACCAAGCCCAAGGAAAGCTTAAACTTCTCTCTGGGCAACGACCTTGTCACCATGTCTTCCAGATTCTCATTGGCACTATACTTTCGAATGCATAACCTCGCACTATACTTTTGAATGCATACCTGTAGTAGAACATGATAGGTTTCTCCACCTTCAAAAGAATACTTTGAACGAGACCAAATGCTAAAGATCTACTTATCACCAGATCACTTTCATGGTCCGAGTCTATCAATCTAACCAAGTTTGCATGTCGTGCATTGGCATGATAGACCAGCTAAGCATCAAGCATTCCCTTAAAGTGTCGTAAGATCTACTTGACCACTTCCTAATGAGCTTTCCCCCGATTTCCTTGAACTGCCAAAGAAGTACCAACACATTTGGACTGGTCACGATAGAATTACCGCAATACTTTCTCAATGTAGTGAGAAATGTATAACCATCTTGCTCTTCTATCACTCCGAATCTCCATCCTTGTTATCTTCTTTTCAGCTCCTAAATCGTTCATCGCTATCTCATTCTCCATAAGCTTCTTCAATTTGTCTTTCCTGGTATGAGCATCACCAGACACTTCTTCCCTGGGTTGATCAAGGGATTCCTCAGGTCTATGTTGTTCCATGCCACCCTGTTTTTCTTCATTTATCGCAAAACTGTATGGGGTTTCTGATGCAAACTCCACCTCCTGGCTAGCTGTAACATCCGGATTTCCAGGTATATTGTTTATCTATTTAATTATTTTGAGGACCAATGAGCTACTCGACGAGTTGGTGCTGCAACTCGTCGAGTAGAGTCGCGATGTACACGTGGGATTAATGACCTACTCGAAAAGTCCAGGAGCCGACTCGCCGAGTAGACGCTGTGATGAGAAACCCTAAATCCCCGGGTTTGGGGCCTATTTAAAGGCACTTATAGCCTCATTTGCGGATATACCTCCCTGAGAGTAAACCCTAATCGTCTTGTGAGCTTAGAGAGAGAGAGAGAGAGAGAGAGTTTTGAGCTAATCTTGAGTGTTTGGTGCATCGTTTGAAGAGAAGAAAAGGATTCTAAGGCAAGAGACAAGAAGGAGTTGCTAGATCTGTGGCTATTTCACCTCAGAGCTTCTGGGAAAGGTATAAAGCTTTCACCTTTCTCATTTTGTTGAGTAGATCTCATGATTTTGGTGTTTAGGGATTGTTTTAGCTAAAAAAAGAGGACTTAGAGTGTTTTGAGTTCATGTTGGGGTTTGAACTTCAGATCTGGACCATATGAGGTCCCTAGAGTCCAAAAGTCCTTGTTTTATTCAGCCATAATAATGCTATTGAGTGAAAAACCCATTTTAAGGTGTGTTTTGGCATTTCAAGCCCTAAGTGCCATGCATGAACGTAAAGTCTGTGACTTTACGTGATAAATAAGCCTTGAGAGTGTAGATCTAGAGTTTGGGAAGGTTTTCTGCCTTGAAATCATTTGAATGGGAAAAGAGTCTGAATGGACTCGCCGAGTCGAGAAGCCGACTCGACGAGTCGGTTAGGGTTTGTCCCGATGAGCTGGATATGCTGTTACTCGGCGGGTTAGGGGTTAACCCGACGAGCTGGATCCTCACAAAGACTTCTGAGGAACGACTGGACTCGACGAGTCACATGGGTGCACTCGGCGAGTCAGGTCAAACTGGGACTGTTGACTCGAGCTTGATTTCTATTGACTTTAGGGTTTGGTCAACATAAGTAATGAAGACCGTGGAGGGGTAAAATGGTCTTTTACCCATTCCAAGAGTTAGAGAGAATGAGAGATCAACCTTAGGTGTAATTGAGTATGAGTAGAGTATTGATTGGAAAAATGTATTTAATGTGTTAGGCGGAGGCTAATTTGAGATTTCCGAGTACGAGACTTTTACTTGGTAGCTTACAAGGTGAGTCTTCTCATTATACTTACTATAAGTGTTACTTTCATGTGATTGAGATGTTTATTGTGCTTATGCGTAAGTCTTAATATTTTGCATCATGTTTTGTGATTTATGCTGAATATTATTATTATGAATCTATTGAGTTGGGACCAGAAGGTCCCACTGAGACATATTGACCGGAGGGTCTTTTTGAGTTATATCCTAGAGTGGTTAATGAGATGTGCATGGTATTTTGGGGAACTCACTAAGCTTCCTGCTTACCGTGTTATGTGTTATGTGTTTCAAGTACTTCTCAGGATCACGGGAAGGAGTCGGCTTGATTGTGTACACACCTGAATCGGAAATATGTTTTTTTAGGATCCTGGATTTGTGTTACAAACAGTTTTTGAGACATGTGTTTGATAACTTGATGTTTGTCGAAATTGTGATTTTGAAACGAGATATTTGGGTTTTTAAAAGAAAATTTTTGTTTGAAAAATTACGTTGTTACACTAGCACCCTGATCGCTCCCCGCAAAACTTGTACCACCTCTTCTCTGGTTACACATAACAGATTCAAAGGTCACATCTCTACTAATAAAAAAATTTGGAGTCTTTCCTTCTTCTGTACACCACAAATGACGGCCTTTCCCTTAAGATTCCTATCCTAGAAATATGAACTTCATTGCCCTCGACTCTTGTTTTCCATCATTCATACGAACATAAGCATGGCATCCAAACATTCGTAAACTATAATTCTTATAGGGTTTTCCAGACCATACCTCTTGATGAGTCTTACAACTAGTTGTAGTTGATGGAGATCTATTCGCCAGATAGCAAACAGTGTTGACTGCTTCCGCCCAGAATTGCTTCGATAAGTCAACAAATAATCGCATGCACTGAACATGCTCCACCAGTGTTTGGTTCATCTATTCTTCCACTCCGCTTTGTTGTGGTGTTAACTGTACAGTATGATGCCTTACTGTACCTTCTGTTTTGCAGAAGTTATCAAATAGAACCTTGTAGAACTCTAACCCATTTTCTATTCTGAGTGACCATATATGGTTCCCGGTCTGTTTCTCAACCATCGTCTTTCACTCCTTGAACTGCCCAAACACTTCATCTTCGTCCTTTGTCTTCAGAAATTACACCCAGATCTTCCTTGAGTAATCATCCATAAAAGTCATAAAGTATCGACATCCACCATGAGACTTCACAGGAGAGGGACCCCATAGATATGAGTGAACACACTCGAGAATCTCCTTACTTGAGTGTTTAACATAACTAAAATTCACCTTGCCTCATATCTATTGAACACAAGCTTCACCAGGTTTAGCATTTACAGTTTCATCTCCACTAAACAACCCCTTATTGCTCACATGTCCTAACTTATGATGCCACAACTTTCTTTCATCATCATATTGATCCAAGGATTGGGATACAGTCACCTTTCCCCCAACCGTACAGCCATCTGGGATATAAATCCCATCACGAATCATCTTTCCTTAATAACTACAAGAGCGCCCTTGGAGTCTCTCAACCAATCACCATTTCCAAAATACTTCAACCCATCATTCACCAAAGTGCCAAGAGAAATCAAAATCTTTCAAAGCTTCGGGACGAACCAACAATCTAGTTTCATGACCATACCATCATGCATCTTGATCTGCACCGTGACACTTCCTTTGATACTTCTCACCCAATCATCATCTGTCTTGACTGTGTCATTCCACTCTTTGAAGGAGTCAAACCACTCACGATTTCAAGTCATATGATAGGATGCTCCAGAGTCCAAGACCCAAGCATCAGCAAAACTAGATGTACATACAATTAAAATTTCACCATCATCCCCTTCATCAGAATTACCTTCAACTGTAACACCCCGATTCTCAGGTATGGATTTAAAGAAAAGGTTATTTGGTTTTAAGTCCTACTCGACGAGTTGGTTGCCCCACTCGTCGAGTAGCAGCGGGTGGGATCGCGTGTTTAGTGACCTACTCGTCGAGTCCAAGAAGGGACTCGACGAGTAGGAGCTGGCAGATGAAACCCTAAATCCCGGGGTTTTGCACCCTATTTAAAGGAGCCTCAGCCTCCTTTGGCCTCTTTACAGTCTTTGAGAGCTCAGTGAAACCCTAATTCGTGTGGTACTCTTCTTGGTGTGATTTAATCCTTGGAAAGAAGGTTGGCTAGGAGGGAAAAGCTTGAAGAGCAAAGGAGTTGAAGCAAGGAAGGTGTGGGAAGCAGAACTTACCTCAGCT